TAATAATAATAATAATAATAATAATAATAATAATAATAATAATAAAGTTGGAAGGGACCTTGGAGGTCATCTAGTCCAACCCCCTGCTCAGGCAGGAAACCCTATACCATTTCAGACAAATGGCTGTCCAGTCTCTTCTTAAAAACTTCCAGTGTTGGAGCATTCACCGCTTCTGGAGGCAGGTTGTTCCACTGGTTAAATGTTCTAACTGTCAGGAAGTTTCTCATTCTATTCTATTCCTTATTTCTACTCTATTCTAATTTCATTCTATTCTATTCTATTCTATTCTTCATTCTATTCTATTCTAATTTCATTCTATTCTTTCTGTTCTATTCTAAATTCTATTCTATTCTAATTTCATTCTATTCTATTCTAAATTCTATTCTATTGTATTCTATTTTAAATTCTGTTCTATTCTTATTCTATTGTATTCTATTGTATTCTATTCTAAATTCTATTCTATTCTATTCCTTATTTCTATTCTATTCTAATTTCATTCTATTCTTTATTTCTACTCTATTCTAATTCTATTCTATTCTATTCTATTCTAATTTCATTCTATTCTATTCTAATTTCATTCTATTCTTTCTATTCTATTCTAAATTCTATTCTATTCTATTTTAAATTCTGTTCTATTCTTATTCTATTCTATTGTAATTTCATTCTATTCTATTGTATTCTATTCTAAGTTCTATTCTATTGTATTCTATTCTAAATTCTATTCTATTCTATTCTATTCTATTCTATTCTATTCTATTCTATATTCTGTTCCGTTCCGTTCCGTTCCATTCTATTCTATTATATTGTAATTTCATTCTATTCTATTGTATTCTATTCTAAATTCTATTGTATTCTATTGTATTCTATTCTTATTTTGCCTAGATATCCAGGCTCAAAGAGGGAATGAATTGACACTGACAAAAACAGCTTTTTCTGCTGATAATCACCTAGGTTGCTCCAGAGAGTGCAGGTAGCCCTCGACTTACGACAGTTCACTTAGTGACTGTTGGAAGTTACAACGGCACTGAAAAAAAAGACTTAGAACCCTTTTCCACACTTATGGCCATCGCAGCATCCCCCCCCCCATGATTACGCGATCAAAATCCAGGCCCTTGGCAATGGACTCCGAGTTATGATGGTTGCCGTGTCCCGGCGTCCCCTCTTTTGCGACCTTCTGACCAGCAAAGTCAATGGAGGGGAAGCCGGATTCACTTCACAACCGGGTTACCAACTTATCAACTGCAGTGGATTCACTTAACAGCTGTGGCAAGAAAGATGGTAAAATGGGGACAAAGCTCCCTTAACAAATGTCTCGCTTAACGACAGAAATTTTGGGCTCAGTTGTGGTCGTAAGTCGAGGACTGCCTGTATATTGAAGCTGGCCGAAGAGGAGAAAAATGGCCTAACTTAATAACTGCAGTTAAGCGCTGTGGCGAGAAATCGGGCAGACCTCCTTGAACGAAAATTTCTCGCTTCGCGGCATAAATTTTGGGCTCAATTCTGGTCATAAGTCGAGGACTACCTGTCAACTCAGGAAAACCACCGAGCCGACAGAAGGATCGGAGAAGCGCACGAGGCAAGGTGGGGGTACCTGAGTGATGGAGCCACGCAAAGCAGGCATCGCTTCCATGGAAAGTTTGCTGGTGGGGGTCCCTCGGGTGATGCTTCCTTCCTGGATGGTGGTTGTACCTGCAGGGAAGCGGAAGAGAAGAGGACAAGGGTGACGATGGGCCTGCAGAGGTAACAAGGCCAGGTAAAAGGCACGGAGGACAGATGCCATAGGTACAGTAGTGGCCCAAATTGTGGAAATCTTTTGGGAAAAGTGTACAGTAGAAATGCCACCTTGGGTTAAGTTTCCACCCATTTTTCTTCTCATTTCTTTATAACTGCAGCCTTGTTCACTTAATAATTCTATTTTACATGGCGTTCTGGGCGACCAGTCAACTCTTTGCACCATGACTTTAATTTTATTACGTTTTACAAGCTCACTAAGTGAAAGAACACACAAAAACCCCAACCAACTTGATAGCGATCACATAACACACTGACACATGTCCTCCTCTCAGCTTCAATACAGGACATCAATCACTGGATCCTACCGTGATCTGATTGGCTCACGGCCAAAACAAGAGGACACCCGATTGGCTCTCTAAACACTCCTGCTCATTGGCTACCATCAGGTGAAGGAAAGCTACCTGAGATCAACCTAAGCAAGGTGTGCTTCCTTTTTCTGGTTATTTGGCTATAGCTTTTCATAGAATACAGTACAGATAATTGAACAAACTTTGTTGCATTACATTCTTGATTAAATTATCTTTCCATTGATATATACTTTTATGATACTACTCCAAAAGAAAGTGGTGTTATTAGCCATCAAACCTCAAATGTACACTTTTCCCCAAAAGGTTTCCACAATTTTGGCCACTACTGTAGATAACGGTATGTGTAGGAACTGCTCAAAGTTACAATAACGGTGCTGGAAAAAATGTGAGGAGTGTTTTTGAACGGTGGCTGCTGCAGCCTCCCTGTGATCAGGGGATCGAAGTTTAGCCGTTTGGTAACAGATTCGTATGCATGACGGTGGCCGTGTCCCGGGGGGAGTGTCATGTGATCACCTTTTGCAACCAAGCCAAGTTGATGGGGAAGCCGGAGTCGCTTAACAAGCACGTTACTAATTTAACAAGCACAGTGATTCACTTAAGCAGGGTGGCAAGGAAGGTGGAATGGAATAGAATAGAAAATATGGAATGGAATGGAATGGAATAGAATAGAATATAAGAGAATAGAATAGAATAGAAAATATGGAATGAAATGGAATGGAATAGGATAGAAAATATGGAATGGATTGGAATGGAATGGAATAGAATAGAATAGAAAATAGAATACGGAATGGAATGGAATAGAATAGAATGGAATAGAAAATATGGAATGGAATTGAATGGAATAGAATAGAAAATATGGAATGGAATAGAATGGAATGGAATAGAATAGAAAATATGGAATGGAATGGAATAGAATGGAATAGAAAATATGGAATGGAATGGAATAGAATAGAATAAAAAATATGGAATGGAATGGAATAGAAAAGAAAATATAGAATGGAATGGAATAAAATAGAAAATATGGAATGGAATAAAATAGAAAACATGGAATGGAGTGGAATAGACTGGAATAGAATGGAATGGAATGGAATAGAAAATATGGAATGGAATGGAATAGAATAGAAAATATAGAATGGAATGGAATAGAATAGAAAATATAGAATGGAATGGAATGGAAGAATAGAAAATATGGAATGGAATCAAATGGAATGGAATGGAATAGAATAGAAAATAGAATATGGAATGGAATAGAATAGAAAATATGGAATGGAATAGAATAGAAAATATGGAATGGAATGGATTGGAATAGAATAGAAAATAGAATACGGAATGGAATGGAATGGAATGGAATAGAATAAAATAGAAAAGAAAAGAAAAGAAAAGAAAAAACGGAATAGAATCGAACAGAAAATATGGAATGGAATAGAACAGATTAGAATAGAAAATATGGAATGGAATGGAATAGAATAGAAAATAGAATACGGAATGGAATGGAATGGAGATAGGATAGGATAGGATAGGATTGTTGGGGGCAAAATGCCGACTCTGTAACCCGCTTAAAGAGGGCTGCAAGGCGCTGTGAAGCGGTATATAAGTCTAAGTGGTATTCCTATTGCAGTCTCTACATGTCTACTGATGGCTGATAGTCTGTCTATTCTCACCCCCACCAACACCGATAGAGCAAGCCGTTTTAACAGAGAGCAAACCCCACTCCCTTCTAGCACTGATGAGGTTACCTAGTTGGGTCATGAGACGTCTGCAAGAAAACCACCCAGTTCAGAGAGCACCCAGGACCTCCACAGAACAGGGTGTACTTAAAAGACCGGCTCATACAATCTCAAGCACGCCCATTTTCTTCCTTTAATTCAAGCTTGGCTTACCTCGAACGACTCCTTCGTGCTGAGCTCTTACCAACAGGCCTTCGGGCTGCGAGTTTTGGCTCCGGGGTGAAAATTCCTCTTGCTTGATGTACGGCAGGGAAACTGCGAAGAAGGCAAGGAGGTGTGTTAAAGAGACACACAACCCACTCCAAACCATTTCATTCCCACATAGCCTCAGAGCATCCAAGCACACACGAGTCGGATCTTGGCTAGGGGTCCATTTTCCAAACCACTAACGCCGACCCTGAGACTCAGGCCTGCCCTGGTGGCGCAGTGGTTAGAGGGCCGCATTGCAGGCTGACTCTGCCCACTGCCAGGAAGTTCGATCCTGACCGGCTCACGGTTGACTCACTTTTCGTCCTTCTAAGGTCGATAAAATGAGGACCCAGATTGTTGGAGGCAAATAGGCTGTAAACCGCTTAGAGGGGGCTGTAAAGCATCGTGAAGCGGTATATAAGTCTAAGTGCTATTGCTTCCTTCCTTTCCTTCTTTCCCTCCCTCCCTTTTCTCCTTCCGTCCTTTGTCATGGTGGCGCAATGGTTAGAAGACAGTATTGCAGGCCCACTGCCCGGAGTTCGATCCTGACCGGCTGAAGACTGATTCAGCCTTCCGTCCTTCCGAGGTCGGTAAAATGAAAATCCAGATTGTTGGGGGCAAATAGGCTGACTCTATAAACTGCTTAGAGAGGGCTGTAAAACCCTGTGAAGCGGTATATAAGTCTAAGTGCTGTTGCTTGGGAAGGAAGGAAGGAAGGAAGGAAGGAAGGAAGGAAGGAAGGAAGGAAGGAAGGAAGGAAGGAAGGAAGGAAGGAAGGAAGGA